TATAATTCATATGGAATAAAATTTAAATGTTAAAAAGTGAAACAAAAATATTAGAAAAATAGGATTTGAAGGAAAGAAAGCTTAATATATGTATATAACTGGCCAGTAAACACACAAAACTACTCTTGACAGCTTACCAGTTATATAAGTAAAGCAAGTTAAAGCAGTATTTAATTTTCTACCTATCAAGTTAACAAAGATGAGAAAAACTGATAATAGACAGTTTTGCTAAGAGACTATGGAAAAACAGATATTCTCACTGTTCATAAGAGAGTAAACAAATGCAACCTTTTTAAAGGGTGATTTGCCATTATATTTTATATAGGTATGTAGTATAGTCTCAAAAATTTATTGTAACATAAACATTAAGTATGTGTGCAACAATTTAAAATATGTGTTCACCACAGCAATATTTATAATAGAAAAACTAGAAACAATCTGAAAATCCAGAGAAGACAGATAAATTTAAATAGGATTTTCACACAGTGGACTACTTTAAACTATTAAAAAAAGTTGCAAATATAAATTTATTGACAAAGGAAGATGTTCTTCATATACTATGAAAAGGAAGATTAAAAATTTGCATGAGAAAAATATACACAAAAATAAGCAAGGCTGATGGTCTTTCAAAGTTTAAATTTAGTTTTATTTAAGAAGAGGATTATTAATACCTTTTAACTTTTTACCTTCCTCCTTTTGATAATATATGCTTTATTTCTTCTTATAAAGAGCACATAATAAATACAGATATTTTCATTCAGAAAAAAAATGTACTACCTCTCACTCTTATACTCACTTAAATGTTTAACTCATGAGTCTCATTTCTGTCCCTTATAAACAAATTTTATCTCTTTTCTGTAAACTTTCAAACAAAAAGATTAAAAAGTAATTGATGTTTATTAATATTGGATCATGTCCTAACTTCTAACATGACTTCACTGGCAATTTCACAAAAAGAATCACATTTAAGACCAAAAGTGTCTTTCATGGCAGCACTAGCAGAAAAAATTTCAGGAAGGAAATTCAAGCCTTTTTTGTTGTTTCAATTTCCCTCAATTAAATGTTTCCTTTTAGGTAAGCCTAAACCACCCAGAGATTTGTATAAAGTGGTAAATAAAAATTACCATGAAGATTTATACAGCCCCATTAAGAACAGTGATTAAATTTTACTAACCCCTGTTAGTTTCACTTGACAAACTCTACATTTTACTAAATGAAGGTATTTCTAACACAATACAAAAATGAAATTTATTTTGAAAAATTCCTAAGAACATAACATTGTTATAAATAGAGGAAGGTTTCTCAATTTTATAGATTTGAACAATATTCCTCTAACATGAATATTTTACAACTAGGGAATTCAGGTCTGAAAAGAGCAAAGCAACTTGGTATGATGATGATGTCTAATAACTATTCATAAACTCCTTTTGGCCCTGCCTTGGGTTAGGAAGTAAACTAAGTGACCTTTTAGGACGTCTTCTAGTCCTAGGGATCTCTACTTACTGCAATCTTAAAAAGTGGTATTGATCATGAAAAGAAATTTTATTCTCCGTCTATTATTTCACCCTTTAACTTTTTACCTTCCACCTTTTGCTATTGTATGCTGTATAAATAAGTGATCTTATTTTGCTTAAAATTTCTCATAAATGACTTTACACAAATGCAAAATTGGAAATGAGTGGAGGATAAAGGTAGTGTGTGGGGAGGTCAACAGATTTAATAAGAGACTTTACCAAGATAATATTTTATATAGGAGTGAGCAGAATATTATTTTAGTATATATAGTAACAAATGTTGATAAGGTGAGGCCAAGCTGAAGTCATAATCTGCCTGATTTCATAAATAATCACTGTGTTTAGCACACAGTAACTATAAGCAAACACACTACTGAAAGGGTATGAAAAGCCATAATCTTTTAATCTTATTTGTCCTCTAGATTTCAGAGTCTGGTAAATTATTAGGGGTAAATTGTTATTACAAACACCTAATTAATAGGCTTCAAAATCTGCTTGCCACATAGTAGGGGTTCAAAATATATATAACATGTGAATGAAAGAAATAATATTTGTGTTTTTCTGTACTGTTCTGTTAGGGTCTGGTGGAAATCAATAATACATAAATAATTTTGTCTTAGTGATTTGTCTTTAAATGTTAATTAACACAAATACTTGTGAGTTACCCTGAGCAAGTTTCAATTATATATTATCAAGTAGGGCTAAACATTTCCAGCAACTATGCAATTTAGTTGCTGATATAAGGGCAAAGTTGCTGCAAGAAGCAGGAGAGAGAAAATCAGAGCCAACTAAAGCTTGAAATCCTTGGGCTACAGTTTTGAAAGCTTTTACCTATTATGCACCTCTGAGAGAGTATTTACTTATTTGTTGGCGGTCAGAGAAAGTAGGCTTAAGTTCTGTAAACTTATAACACAGATGCTTAAAAATAACTATTCAGTACAATTTTTATTTTCAGTATCACTAAATTTTAGTTTCAGTATCACTATCACCTGCATTTAATTGAAAGTTAGAAAAAAGAAACTTTCAAAGATTTTTTGTTGTAAAAATTCTTAACAATTCTCATAAATTCCAAGAAATCTGTTTTTAGATAGACCAGTTCTCCTCTCAAAAAAGGGACAGAAAGAGAAACTTCAATCTCTACAAAAACCTTATTTTCAGTCAGTGTTCAGTTATATGACCACCCATGTATTATCTAATAGTAAATGGAAGAAAGTCAGCATTTGCTGAAGAAGGTAGCCTCTCAGACAATTTAGTTCTGAAACTTAAGTAACCTTACATTATTCATTTAGATTGTAAATACTAGGATCCCAAATTCAGTTTGGGGACTAGCTGAGATATGGTTAGTAAGTTTCCATAGAATAGTTACTTAGGTCTTGACAACTTTCTTTCTGTTTGCTATTGTGTTTTGCTCATCTAAAGTTTAAGGAATTGGCAAGCAAAGAACAGTCTTGACCTTGAAAAGACAGTTCTTATATCTATCACCAATAGAAATATCATTATGTTCACATCACATTAAAGTTTTGCAGGTACCTCAAATATAATTAATACTATTACACATTAAAGTTTTGCAGGTACCTCAAATATAATTCATACTATTACATATATATTCACACTGTTTTGAAATTATGTAATAACACCTGCTCCCAAATGTTGTTTAACTGTTTAAAAAATATCAGTAAAGCTGATTTTTAGGTATTTTATTTATATATTTAAAAACATTACTCTGAGGTAAGGATACACAGTCCAGGTTGTCAGAGATCCACAGCATAAAACAGATTATTTTATTTTTACCTTTGTTATTTATACATGTTGCTTATAGTATATAATCTAAACACTTTAGCCTGGAATTCAAGGCTTTTCACAATCTGTTCACACCTACTTTATCGTCTTTATCGCTGCTCCACCCCTATTCTCTGTACTAAGCTCTAGTCATTCCAGACAACTCTCTCTTATCTGGAGGCAGATAGACAGGTTTTTTGATTAACCCTAGTTAAAAAGTCAGTAGCCAGACACGGTCTTGGCCTTTGCCTAGACACCTCTTCTCTGCCAAGTGAATTCTTCCTCGTTTAAAATTTGTTGTCTTCAATACTATGAGCTCCTAATAGGGCTGTATCATAGACATCTTTTTATTTTACTCCTTACTTAAAGGTCTGTTTAAAATGAATAATAGTAGAGTCTAAATTGGCATTGCAGGGGAGTGGGAACTAGTCTATGAATCTAATAAATTAGTCTAGCTCTATCTAATTTTTGTGGAATAGAAAGAAGGATGCCCTTGAGATCTAAGGCAGGACCCAGTTGATACACCCTGGGTAGATGGGAATGGGAGAGGAAACAATAACTGAGGTGGCTCTGGTAAGACTGAAGGGTGGAATGTGTGGGATGGGGAAGGCAAGAGTGATGCCTTCAGCTTCCCAGAAGTTATTCCAAACTTCCATCACTCTGTTCAAGCTTCATTGTTCCCCCAATTCTCAATCTTCAAATGACTCTCATCTTAATGTTATAGTAAACTCCATCAACTTCCTGCCCTTCCCAAGTTTCCATTCTTTCCTTTTCTCTAGTTAAGTGGTTCTCAAGCCTCACCATTAAGAGTCACCGGGAGTTTTTAAAAAAAAGTACTGATCCCTTGGCCCTAACACCAATTTTTTCATAAATTGTGGCAAGAGCCTTGTTTTATTTTTAAATAGGCGTCCCAGATGGTTCTAACGTCTATATATATAATATATATGTGTGTGTGTATATATTATATATATACGGAAGATTGAGTTCCATTACTCTAGATCCTGTGCATTAGCCGCCCTCAATCAACTGTCCACTCTCGGTTCCATGTTACACTTTCATGTCTAAGAGTCTCCCATCTTTAAGGAAAAGATTCTTCTAGTCAGTCAACATTCTTGCCCCTCATCTTTCACCCTTTACGAAAATATTCCATCCCCCTAACTTTTCATTCCACTAGCAAAATTCTGGTTCTCTTTGTGTTATTCCAGGTCAATATTGTCAGAAGCTTTTGTAATCGTCCTTTTTGCTTCTCTGATCGCAGTTCTTTGATCAGCCACGAAGAGACCCAAAGGTCACCTTGGGACGGGTTTCCTCATGTTCTACACAAATCAGGGGCCCCTTTTCTGTGTTCTGAGTATACCGTGCATTTTTATAATAGTTTCGTTTTACTATCCTGGCTTGCTCATGGCCTCCTACATAGCACAATTCTTCAGAGAGCTGACAAAATTTCATTCTTTCTGACTTTCTGGCGCATAAGGTAGGAAAAGCACTCAGAGAAAAGTCCGAGGAATGAATGGAAAGGAAGACTAGGAAACGGAAGCTGGGGGCGGGGGCGTGCGTGGAAAGGGGCGGGGGCTGCGGGGGGCGGCGCTGAGAACCTAGCGCCAGAATGGGGAGGGGGTATCGGCCGGCCAGTATTATGTGGGTGGCCGAGAGGTGCCCGGCCGAGACGCCCTGACAGACAAACCGAAGTGGGTCGGCGGCTCTTACCTGCCTTGGACCTCACCGCCCCAACCAGCCTTCAGACTCCTCTGTATTGGCCGGAAAGCGAGAGCTACGGTCGCAAACCCAGAATTTCCTACACAACCTTGCGACATTTTTCTCCAGTAGGGGGAGACTGATTATAAGGCTGATCTCCCCGCTCTGCCGTAAGGTGAGGAAAAAACCTTAGGCGGGGCCGCTGGGGAGAGGGGTGGAGGGGAATGAAGAAACGGGGCGTGCCCGCGCAAGCGCGAGGCGGGCCAGTCGGGCAGCGTCACGAGAGGGGGCGGGGCCGAGGCCCGGCGGGCGTGCTGGTCTCGGCAGGCGGTAGGGGGCGTGGGAGGTAAGTGCGCCCGCGCCTGCCCGTCTGCAGCCCGAGAGTCGCGCGGGGCGGGGCCGCGTGCGCGGGTTCGGGGGCGCGCGGGCCGGAGCGAACGAGGGACGCGGCGGCGGTTGGCGGTGGTTGTTGATTTCAGGTCCCACGGTGAGAGGCGCCTGAGGAGGCGTCCGCAGCGGCGGCAGCCGCGGCCGAGGCGGCGTTCCAAATCGTGCTCTCCGGGAGGGGTGCGGCGGGGGATGTGCCTGCCCCGGCCGGGCGGAGTCTCGCTGACAGGGCGGGGGATGCGGGGCGGCCGCTGGCCTGGACCCTGAGGCAGCTGGGCCCACCCTGTCCGGAACCGTCCGACCCTTGGTGGCCTCGTCTTCTGCTGCCTCCTCCGGCCTGATCCTGGATCCAAGGGTGGGAGGCGTTTTCCGCCGAAGAGGAGGGGGCCGTGGTGGCCACCGCGGCGGCGCCCGAGGTAAGACCCGCCCCAGCCGCCCTGCGAGCGGCCTGCCGCCCAGCCCGGCCCACGTCTCAGGCTCGCGCTTGGGTTCTGGCGGGGCCGCCCCGCCCCGTCCCTGTGGAGACGCCCCATAAGCGGGTCAGCCCGGGAGCCTTCCAGACACTAGATCTTGGCCCCGGTGCCCACGAGACCCCACCTATTGTATCTTCTACTGGCGAGACCTTTTCCTGGCCAATCCAGCCTTCCCGGCAGTCCTGTCGTGGGCTACTCCCCCCACCCCCTCGCCAGCACCCCCTTTAGAACCCCTCGGACTCGCTTTGGACTCTTAATGGAGCCTCCAGATTCCGTTACATCCTCCCGTGAACAGTCCCGATCACAGCTCCTCCGGGACCAGCCACGGCCGCCCCCTCCCGCTTTGCAACCCTGAGTTCTTGGCTGATCAGTCGCTGCGCAGCCTCCTCCTTCCCAGCGCATCCAGCTAGCTCCCTGGGGAGCCTACGAGCTCTGCCCCTACTCAGCAAGGTTCTCGGTCTCTTTCTTGATGCTCTTATCTCCTGGTAGATCTGAAGTCAGCCTTTCTGTAGACACTCTCGGATGGCGACCACCTCCCACCGGCTACTGCAGCCTTTCCTCTGGCGGACCTTGTTATCGCTCTTAACTCCGGGTCCTTTCTTTGATTGAATAGGTTTTACCTATAAATCCTGGCGGGGATTTGCCCAGCCACTTAGTATATTCCCCTTTGTGGGGCTTAAGGGGACCAAGTGACACCGGGTTGGAACGTTTAAAGTCTAGTGACTAAAGAGAGAGGGAGAGGGAAGAGTTTGGAAGCCCAGGGCAGGGTGTGTGTGTGTGTTTTTATCTGAGTGTATGCACTCGCGCGCTATTTATTATAAGGTCACATAGTCTGCTTTTCATCTTCAACAACGTGTGAAATTGTACAGAACTGACATTTTAGGGACCTCCATAAGGATTAAATTGCATTATACTAATGGATATAGTTCTGTCTCTATGTAGTATCATTTCCTTCACCTCTTTAGAAATTTTCAGAGATCTCTTGCACTGTTTTTCTTTTTTTTTTTTTTTTGCAGAATAGACTTTTTTAATTGAGTTGACATTAGGATATAGCTTAAGTTTCAGGTGTGCAGTATAACCCGACATTTGAATACACTTGAATAATGTTATCACGACCAAAAGTCTTAGATGGGGATTTTGTTGTTGCTGCTTTTGAGTTTGTTGGAAAAGTAAGATTTATAATTTCCCTTAATCTCAAGTTTTAATGTCAATTTAAAAACACGGTTCTGTTGCCTGGCCTTTGCTCGTGCAAGGAACAAGTACAGTTATCATAAATGTTCACTGATGGCATCACAGCTTTTTCAATTGTGAATTTTATCTTGATTAAAATGTTGTTTTTTAAAGTTGAAGTGAACTGTTAAGAAATGTAATGCTATACTAGATTTTTGGTGCATAATTTTAATGTTTAATGTTCACAAAATCAAGTATAGGGAGATTTTGGTAGTCATTGCATTAAAAAATTTTATTTTGAGTTTCTGGAGCTAAGGAGGGGAAATCACTTTAAAATTATACATAGTAAGGAGAAACTGTAAAAGTCAATAGGTTCAAGTGGTTGCAGTAAAGTTGCTCTCCCTCCTTTATCCTCGCTTTCCCTTTTTAGAGGCAACCACTTTTTCCAACATTGTGTGTCCCTTCTATGATTTTCTAGTACATACTAGCCTACATTGATGTCCTCAAAACTTCACAACAAATGCTTGCATATAATGCATATGCTCACACTCTGCCTAGACCTCCCAATACCCTCTTTCCCCCAATAGAACCTAGAGATCATTCAATGATAATAGTTATTGACTGGATAGTGTTCCATTTTGCTGATCTTGAGGTTAATTTTCATTTTTTGCGTTTACAAATAATGCTGCATCCTTTCCTTTAAATGCATCAGCTTTTTTTTTTTTAAAGATTTATTTATTAATGCATATAAGAACTGGAGCACATGGGGGTGGTGGGAGGGATGGAGCCGATGTGTGTGTGTTAAAGGACTCACCAGAGACTGAGTGGGGAGCAGAACAGGAGATCTACTGAAATACACTGCTGAGGGGAGTAGTGGAAGAAACAGGAGAGGTCTGCCATGCCATGTGGGTCACCTCCCTGGCCAGGGATTGAACTTGGTACTGATTAGCTGTGGATAGCTTCATAGTGCTGTTGCTCCACTAGGAGGACCCTATCAGCTGTAATATATGTAAATAATTTTCAGGATTTGAAAACATTTCCTGCTCGTTCGTGTTGAGCCTTTAAAATAATAGCATTAAATTTATCATTGAAACTGAGCATCCATGGAATAATTATTTTTAATGGTGGTGAAATATTTATCAAATAAGTTATTGAAGGACTTAAAGGACTGAAATGATCAGATTTGCTTTTTTAGAAGGTCACTGGCTGCAGTGAGGAGGATAGATTTAGATAAAGGTTAAAAGCAGAAATATCAGAAGGCTTATCCAAGAATTAGATCATGACAACAGGGGTCTGGATTTGGGTATTGGGAGTAGATGACTTGATTTTGTTGGATTGAGAATAGGGAGAGATTCATACAATATAAAATCTAAGTTTCTTGTTTATACCTCACACTGTTGGGAATACATACTAGGGAATAGTGGGGTTTTATTTGGTCAGGAAATAGGAATAGAGGGATTCGCTGTGACATGTTGAGTTTGGTGGCTATATAGTTTTTCAAGATATGGATGGCCATTAGGCAGCTGGATTTGTGACTTAAGTTTTTGGTTTGATAGTAATATATTTTGGAAATAAAGGGTATAAATGAGAAGGTTATAGATGAAAAAAGAAAAGATTGTAAGGACAAACCCACTTTCACAGTAAGAGTTGAACAAGCTAATACTTTGTTTTAGCTACTCTTAGCTAGTTCTTAATTCATTGATTTTTTTCCCCTGTGTTCCAGTTTCCCCCCCTTTATTTCATAGCTTCCTTTTATTACCAAATTCTCTCTCTTCAGAATTACTGTGTGATTCCCATGCCACCATCCTGCAGCTGTCTTATAAGTTTGGACTCCGTTGCTGACTTCCTAGTGTTTTCTGGTTTGAATTCTCAAGAATCAATTTCTGTGGTTCAACTCTTTTTCCTAGGCTGTTAACAAGCCAGAGGACTTGGGCCATGTGACTCGGTCCTTTAGTGTTGACTGTGTTTATTTGAGCATGTGGGTGGGGCAAGATAATGGTAAAAAGCATGGGGGAATTTGCAATCTAATTTTTCACAAAATAGGCTTGCAAGTGTGGCAGGAATCTTTATACTACAAATACAGATCTAATCATGTCTTTTCCTGTTAAAAGATCTTAAGTGCTTTTTCATTGCTTTTAGGATAAAGCTGAAACTATAACATGGCACACATGAGATTCATGATCTGACTCTAGGTTTTCCACCTTGCTCTTTTTCTTAATTCTTTGAACCGCTCTTACTGAACTTAGGCTTCCTTTCAGATAAGGTACTTTATCTCTTGTTTTTGTGCCTGCATTTTCCTAACCTGACCTGTTCTCTGTCCCTTTTCCTCCCTACCTCTTTTTGCTTGACTGGCTTCTTTTTGACCTTTCGGATTCAATTCCGGTGGAGCTTCAGGAAGCTTTCCTTTACCTCTTCCAGGTTAGGTTCTGTACCATTCCTGTGTACTGTCTAGTGAAATTGCCTAATTATTTGTCTGTTTTCTTTCTTAGGCTTTTAAGTTCTTTATATCCCTGCTATGTAGTCAGTTAGGTTTTCAGGTGATGATTTCTTAATAATATATTTTTAATAAATTACTAAGTATACAAAAAAGTACACAGATTTTTAGTAGATAGCTCAGTATATTTTCACCGAGTGAACACACCAGTGTCATTGATAGTGAGATACAAAATATTACTACAACTTCATTAGTACCTCCTGTCTACTGATAGTAGCTGCTGAGTTCAAAGAGGACTTGATTTTAAATGAAAAATTCTTTAATGTGCACATTTCTCTACATATTTTGTTGTGTATCTTTTTAGATATAAGATATAGGTATTAGAATTTTGATTTTTATAGAAAGATCATACCTAATTTACTACCCTTAGTATTGTTTTATATTATAATTTTGGCATACTTTAATGTAGTAGACAAGTTCAGTCCTAATATTTTGATATTTAGTTTTGGGGTATTTGTATTGAGGTGGATTTTCTCGTTTATTTAATATAATGGCCGAAAAGACCATGATAGATTAAAATATATTTGTTGAAGTAAGCTATTTTGAGTGGTACATGGTTGAGATGAGTATAGTAAACATGGAAAGTACCTCTAAATGCAGTTTGGCCTCTGGGTTTTAGTTTGAATTATGGTGCTGGCATATTTTGGAAATGGGGTCATCCACCGGGCAACTGGAGTATAATTTTACATGTCCAGTGAGAAAAGGCCTAGCTGTCCTATGTCATAGACAGCTGACTTACTTAAAATTGGTTCTTACTTTACAACTAGCAGTAATCTTAGAGTGTACTTTTTTAGAATTTTTAAAATTTTAAGATTATGTAGCTCTTTGAACATGAATATAATATTTTTAAACATTAAAAAATGGCTTTTTTGTCTATAAATATAAATCTGTTAAGACCAAGTAACTGGCAAGAATGTGCATATTTAGACCACTCTCCAATAGACCTTGGTTCAGTTTGAAACCTCATCACTTTTGAGCTGCCACTTAAGTGCAAATTACTTAATAGTTCTGTGTTTCAGGAAAGTTAAGGAAGTTCATCTTTTAGATTGGAATATTTTACCTAACAAAATTATCATTAGAGTTAAACCTTATGTAAAGCAGTAAGAATATAGTTGAAACTCAGCAAGTTTCCCTTTCCCCCTTTGAATTTCTACTTATACTTAAATATGAGATCAAGAATGTAAGGAATTTCATTGTGAGGTTTTTAGAATAAAAAGGCTAAAATTTGTGCCAATGGAAGTTAATCTTAGAAAGATAGTATATCTAGCTATTTTTTTAA